AATGGCACAGTTCGGCACTCGCTGAACGTAACATCACTAACAAAAAATATAATTCGGATACACGTGCGACGGGGTGTTTTAACTCGTGTGATTGGCAGCCCTCGGCTTCCCCTCGGGCCGCCAACTTCACACTCGTTGCCACCCCGTCGCACTTGTATCGAAATATATTATTTCTTGATGAAAAAATGAAAATATAATAATAATTATCATAACAATTATGATATTATAATGACCAATAAAAATAAAAATTAATTAGTTATTATTAATGATTAATTATTGTCGATCAACTAACTAATCAAATTTTAACTTATTTTACCACAATAAAAGTGTAACCTTTCCCCGTGACGTCAGGAGCAGACTAAATGTCCACCCTTCGTAAATTCATATTTTCAGTATTTTATTTTGCGAATTTCCGAAAATTCAAAAACAATGACTCCTCTGGGAAAAACAGGATTTAAAGGCTTTCGTAGGTAATGGAGTGGGATAGCGCTCGCGGGCCGAAAAATCGATGTGAGGGGAAATGCGACTATAACGAGTGTGACTCTAACGGGAGTCTACTGTATGTGCACCTAGGAAGCAAAACAGGACATTCAAACCCGCGTGCTTACCGCCCTCAGCCGAAGCCGAACCTCGCACAGTAAAAAATCCGGCGTGGACTGCTTGGGACATCGTTCGGTGTTGATTTATACGGAGAGAAATGTTCAGTAAAATTATGGAACTCACAATTCACTCACCGTTTACGGAATCGACTCAGAAAATTTAAGTGACGGTATCGTAATTTTTCACAGGAGATTCAAATAAAAATTACGGAACGCTCCGGAAAAATTCCGTGACAGTTTCGTAAAATTTCCTACAGCCACATTTCGCTCCGGAATTACGGTAAAGATAGCTAATTTTCATTGAATACCTTTCTCCGTGTACCACCGGATTTTACACGTATAATGTCCTACGGTGCGGGGTTATTTTAACACGGCAACTTCACACTAAAAACGGTGTGGACTCATTGGGACGCCAATCGGTGTCAATTTAGCCCAAATTTTTTTACAGTGCGGGCAGTAGTCCACACGCGGGTTGGAATGCTCTGGTTTCCTTCCTTGGTGCACAATCTACTATTTTCCGCTTGTATCATAATACACTAGTTAGTGCTGCTGCGTTCATTTCGTTCCGAAATGTGCCTTTTCATTTACTTGGAAACGAAAAAAACTACAGTTCGGTACTCGCTGAACGCAACATCACTGTCAAAATAGTTCATTATTTCAATAAGGGTGAGACGAAATTTTCGCGAGTGTAAAGTTGGCGGCCCGAGGCAGAGACGAGGTGACCGTCCCCCTCCTTCAGGTAAGTCTAGACCTCGAATTCAACTTATGTAGCATTTATCACAATGGTGTTAACATAGCGATTTAACGCAAAATGTGAAATTTGCGATTCCTCGCGAAGATCGCCGGCATTTGAAAATCCCTCGTTCAATTGTGTTCTCCACCATCCCCCTCCTTGAAACATAGCGTTTTAACGCGAAATGTGAACTTCTCGTTAAATCTTGACGGTCACTTTACATCTAGATAAAGCCAGTCGATTTTTCTCCCTCATTATAGTTTCACATTCGCGACAAATATCGTTCATAATGTTATCGTGTTACTTCGGAATTCGGCCCCTAGACTGAGCTTTGGACCCCAGAGCTCTCTAAATTTAAGAAAATTCTTTAATTAGTCCTTTAATGTGAAGATATGCGAAATCATTTACGAAACATTTTTCATTGGTTCCAATGAAAAATTTTATACGACTGTTTCTCTATAATTAAACTCAATAGATTCTATGATAATAATAAATAAGAAAGTGCTACGAAACTTCAAATTTTTTGCAATTTTATACCAAAGTAATATTTAATAAATTTTCGATTTCCATTTCAGCGTTATTCATAATTTTATTTAAATTTCTGAAAAAATTTATGAAGAACATGAAAAGAAATTACCGAAAAGGGACCGAGTACAAAAATGACGGTCCGATTACATCTAAATGGACGATTTTCCTGTATAAATGATAACAAGAAAAAATTGCTGATAATTGGGTAAGTTGACCGGTTCGTTTGCATCACGAGGTATGCGTCAAGTCAGAAATGGTCAGAAAACGGTAAATTTACGACGGACTTGACGCATGTCAAAAATTACCGTCATTTTGCATCCCTAGTTTCGAGTGTAGCATTTATTTAGATACAATAATCGGCATTATTCCTTAGCTGAACCGCAAACACAGCTCCTACCTCAATAGTTTGACAATTTTTTTAATTGATAAGACGATTAACAAGTTTCTGTGAAGCCTGAGATTGACGCATTCATGGGGATCAAGCACAAACTTTTTTGTAATTCATCTTCTTCAATATCAAAGATCTAATGTCAGAAGATGATTTCCGTATGAGTAACCTTAGAACATCAGGCATTGAAGTGGATATAATGTGCAACTCTCCCTCGCAATATTCAACGAGCAGATTGACATTGTTCAAGCTCTATATAATCAGAAAGAAATGATTAACTCAGATTAGAGAAAGTTAGATAAAAGGGAGATTTTATAAACATAAATAAAACGGTGGATTTGACAAAAATATTGGATTTTTTACGAGAATACTTTGTAAACATTAGGCAAAGGCCAATATACTACACGATGGTGGCTCGTTTGTTATTCCCCGATAACATTTTCCCAACAAGATTTTCCCGGCATTCCCCNTCCCGGCATTCCCCCCCCCCCCAAATTTTAAGCGTGCCATTTCGCCTTTGTTCCCGGTGGTCATTTTTTAGAAAATTAAGTAAATAAGTCATTACTAAGTCACACTAAAGTAATTTTAAAAAATCTGAAATTTGGTCCGATTGTAGGTTTTAATGAGGGCTAACTCTGTGCATAATTTCAGCTCGATCGATCTAATAGTTTTGAAAAAAAGCGATTTGTTTTTGAATCGTTTTCCGCAAATATCTTCAAAACTAGTAGACCGATTTCGATTTTTTTGTTTCCAAAATATTCGATTCGATGCCTTCTATCTGAATCAATCAGAACATATATACCCGTTCATACAAAATTTTCGAGATATTCGCGTTTTTCCGTTTTTTCATAAAAAAAAAACTTTGTAAACACTCTAGCTTGTGCAAAAATTGAGATATCAACTTGAAATTTGGACGGAAAATATGTATACTCGCAGATATGGAATATACGAAATATTGGAATGTTCTTAGTACCCATGGAGGTGGCAGTAACCATCTAAAATTTTTGCTGCTAATAGTTAGTGTTGTGAAGCTATAAATTTTTGTAATGTTTCAGATCTCACATGGCGCGCTGTCAGATGCTCGCAGAAAAAGAATTTCTCTACAATTTTTTGAAAATTATAGAGAAACGAAGAGGCTTAAACGAGTGAGATATGCGACAATCATTTGCATTGAAGTCTAAAACAACTCGTTTCAATTGAGGATCAAAATCTCTGCACTTCTTCTTTCTGGATGGAGCCAGAAAATTTCATTTTCCTCATTGAAAATGTTATAGCCAGGCAAAGAGGATTATTATTGAAATTAAATACTGAATAATTTCTTTCTTCTTCATAAATAAATTCAATTGCAGAGATTGGAAGTAAATGGACGGAGAAAAAATTAAGGAAAAAATTTCGTGGGAAAAAATAGCACGAGGAAATGTTGGGAGGGAAGTTTTGTCGGGGAAATTTTGTTGGAGAAATTTTGTCGGGGAATGAATGAAAATCGTGAAATCCTACACGATTACTAAAATTCCGGGACAATTTTTCACACATTTTCCATGCAGCAGTAATCCCATCCCACACACTCCCCTAATATTTTCACCCCTACGTTTCTCAAAAATCCGAAGCCAGAAAAATTCCAAATCTGCTCGAGAGAACTAAAATAGAAAACTATTCTCGCTATCCCCAGGTAAAAACTAATTACAACTCCCAATAGGCGTTCCTTTTCCCCGTTACGAAAATTCCATCCAACGGTCTGCACAAGCCCATTTAACCCCCTCCCCCAACACTCAATTCCCTATTGTTCTCCAGATATCCATCAAAAACTCGAAAATTCTCCCTCATCTTATAATAACTTCCCATGCCCCTCATAGCTTCTTCACCCTCGAACCACCCCCCCCCCCNCCCCCCCCCTGAATGACACCGAAAATACCATCAGTACCATGAACCACACTCCTGCCTCCCCTCCATTGTACTCCTGCAGGTTTTTTACCTGTTAGCTTGGCTATACCTGTCCCATCAACGTGGCGACTTCTCCTCGCTCGGACTATAGTATACGATAGCACCGCGTTTTGGCCTTAGTGGGAGAAGCTGCGTGGTGGCACACCGTCCTCCTGGCGAATGCCCGTGGCCATCGGACAGTACAGAGTGAACGACCGCAACGTTAACCCGAGTTCAAACAATCTCTATCTTCCATTTGACTGCAAATTGCCCACTTACCCTTCATAAAATGATTTAAAAATTCTCGTTGCCAATTATAACTCTTCTCAACCCTGCGAGAACCAACAATATTGATAATAACAAGATATAAAATAGTAATAATTGTCGACAATGAATTCAAAAAATGTGATATTGCAGAATAAAAATGTGAAACTTAAAATTTGAAAATTTCTAATTTGAAAGAAAATTAAAGTCCTTTTCTTTCGATGACAAAAAGTGTTTGAAGTAACTGGAATACAGTTTTGAAAAGTGGGTCATCCGGTCCAAGAGTAACTGAGGCACGAGAATAATCCTCAACACCAGTGAAACGAAAACCCAACTGTTCTTCATTAGAACAATTGAGTTGAATTAAAACTGAGAAAGGACCTCAAATCGGTTTTGTTTTTAATTAAAAAAATGAAGACCAATTGGTCTTGTGTGTTTTCTAAAGATAAACAAGTGCGTCTGGACTGACGTTTCGATGCTCTAGGATCGAAAGATGGCGGCAGTGGGATAGATTAATTCCGGATTCTAGTGCATTTGGGGCCGAATAGGTCCCTGGAATTTGGTGGTGATGAGTTTACGAAAACCCTTTGGAGGTATGGGAGTTAATGGAATGGTTGTGAGGATCATCCTGATCAATTTGGTGGTTCAAACAGCAGGTAATTGGATGTTTATCAGTGATGTCAATGCTCGGTGTGGACTAGTATACACGCAACAATCCGGATGCTCGAAAATCCCGTAGTCACTTTCTTTACTTGTCTCCGGGTCTGGTTTGACGTCATTGGAAAGTAGATGAGTCAATGATCATTTGAAATTTGAATTCAGTATAGGCATAAGCGTGAATATGCTAAAAATGAAAGTTTAGGGGGCAGTTCAATAATAAATTTCTGCGGCGGGAAATTAGAAGAGGGATCATCTCGGTAAAGAAGAGTAATAGCATGAAATTTCAAAAAGTTTTTTATTGGTAATTTTTGTGCTCCAAAAAGGTCCTCTCTCAGTTTTTTTTATAGAGTTAATTGCCGGGACAATTTCTTAGTTAGTAAAGTTTATACTTGGGACATTCATGTCAATAGTCAACTGATCTTGGTACCGAATGATTTAGGAGTTAACAACAAAAGATCTTTTTGATAGGCAATAAAACTCCCGACGAACAAGATCTTGTGACTACCACCACGGAGAGAAATTTTTCAAGTGAACCATTCGTTAACTATTAACGAATATTCATTTGGGCATATTCAACTCTACCATTCGTTAATAGTTCACGAATCTCGTTTGGAATAAATGAATCAGCCTATCAGTGTATATAAGCATTAAAAAATTAGGATCACAATATAAAAGTAAAAAAAGTGGGTGTCAGGCAATGAGGGTCATATAAGGGCTAAAAACGGTGATCAAGCATAATATATGACTTATATTTAGATCCTCATTGCATGACCCCCGTTTTTTGTACTTTTTCATTCTGACCCTAATGTTTTGATTCTAGTATTCTGACTCCCATTTTTGGACCTCCACTTTTTGACCCTTATATTCTGACAATTAGTGCCTGATCCTTATGTTACACTTAAGAGGGCTTGCTACAACCCGGCCTGATGCGAAACAATCATCTTCGAATTGAAATACCCATCTCGCAATTAAGTATAAAATATACTTGCGTCAAGTATATTTTATATACTCAAGTCAGGTATATTTTTTTCTTCTGTATATTGTTGATAATTGTAATGTTATCATGGTATTGAGTGACGTTAATTGAAAACATTAGAAAACTTTGCTATATAGAAAATTGTGTTAACTATGAAAAATGACTTGGTTTTTTTTAATGAAAAGCCTGACTGAGATGATTCTCCAAAGGTCAATTATCAGTTTGCTTCTCGTTAATTGTTGAATTGTCTTAGTAGCGATTGACGATTGGCATATTGTTTCGTAAATTTTGTTCTCTGCCAAAAAGGTCTGTTGACATTTGTGGACGTCCACATGAAAATGGACCACCAATGTTAAATTGTTTTTTCCATCTTCTCCAACGACGTCATTTTTGACCCCAGACCCCATGAAGATCATTTTGGGCTCAAAATGTGCGGAATGTTATCAATATTATCAGAGTATACTTAACACCATATCGACAAAGTGGTCCCTTTTCATGCGGACGTCCACATTTACTGCTATAATACACCTCGTCCTTAAGGAGTAACGGAACCCGTCGCACGTAGAGGTTAGGGGTCCCCCCTATCGGCATTGCAGGTTCCCGTGGTTTTTTTGATTTTGTACGGGAAAAGTACAAAAGCCCATAAAATATAAATAAATGGATATAAATAAATAATAATGGTATGGAAACATTCTACATCATCTTCTGACTCATAAAAATATTTCCCTCTTACAATTGGTGCCCTGTAAAGGACATGTTACCTCCTGGATACCACCCAATCATCATAAACAAGTTTTTACGAAAATTACGCAACAAAAGTACGTTTTTGTACTCAAAATCTCTGTCTTGGACCTCACTCGATCGCTCTCTTCTCATGAAAATAGTCATCGGCTAAGAAAAATCTACAACAAATCGGTTTTTCGACCATGACTTGGCAGATTCCTACAAATAACATGGCGTCGGCCTTGCCCTGGTCCTTGCCGTTAAATAATTTGCAATTTTTTTTTGCATAAATAAGAAAAGTATGAGAAGAGAGCGATGCGTTCCGCTACTTTCAATACGGGGAAAAAGTTTCATTGATTCTCATTGCATAGAATCCAAGAAAACTTGTTTTTGGTAAACGTCTTTTTGTGGTCGGTTCCGTTACCCCTTAAGATGATCCCCCTTAAGAAAGACAAGGAAGAAAGAAAGGGAACACGAAACAAAATCAATAATACCTAACAAATTAAATTTCGCTCGTTTTACCACTTCACTACCGAATAATTCCTTCCAATTTTCATCCAACATTGCAGAATAAAAATTAATCGCGAAATTAAAGACACTTGTTAGGAGTCACATAGAAAGTTGGAAATTTTGCGTGACGCCGCTGATTCATTCTAATTCCACGGGCGTTGGGTTTTTTCCCCATTGGTATTCTTCGGTAAAATGCAGAGCCCGCATGATGAACAGCAGTCTATCACTCTTGGTTTAACGCAATGAATATTAGCTGGCCCATTTCGAGTTTGAGCACCTGTACAATTTGTAAAAAAAATATCGTCCCAAGCGAAAGCTATTGTAGAAAACAACGTAGAACAGACAACTCAGTTTAGTGTTCAATCGTTCTGAGAAGATGGAAAGCTTTGAAACGGTGATAAAATGCAAATTACCACGGCGTGAATGCAATAATAAGGATGAGAATGCGAGCAATGGAATCCATTAAGGTCTTCTCACTGGTTGACTCCAGGTACCGTAAGTGCAACTATCGTAGCTTGGAGGAGATTACAACGATTTGGCATGCACACAATTCAGTCAGCAAAATCAAATCCAATTTGTTGAAAATAGTTTTGCTGATTGTTCAGCGAAAATCTGTGAAACTACGAGGTTCTATTTTTTCTTCTTCGTTTAGAGTATTCGCACCTTTTGGCGTATTCTGCAAAAGATACAAATGGAAATATGATACAAAACAAGTGGGAAATTGCTTTTGTATTGTATATACTATAGTTATTTTTGCGAATAAATTAGCAATATGCTTCCGAATGGTTATTTTGGACATCATTTCCTTCTATCATGGATAATTCATTGTTTATTTCATTTTATTAAATTGAATGAGATTTCTTTTCAACTAATATTCTCAGATTTTCAACTTAGTTGAAAGATACCATCATCATTAATCTTATTATTCCTTTCTTCAATACAACCAATTGTCTATGTCATAGCTCTATCTCTCCCCTCAGCCCTCCGCTGAAATGTTATTAGAGAAATGTTATTTATACATAATTGAATGAATTTGAGACATCAGATTTGAAGAAACCATCGGAAAGCTCATTTTTACGAAAATTAATGAAAATTCGAAAATTTCAACAATCATAAAAATCAAATCAACCAATGTAGCTGTCGTAATCATCTTTTAACTTCGACTTAATGGCATTAAAACAAACATTTTAATCCATGATTGAACTCATTTGAAGCATGATATCCAAAGATATCCCGGGAATTCTGATTTTCAAAAAATACAGAATTTTTGCAAATTTTCAAATAAATCAAAATAACAATTATTGCTATCGCCTTCATCTTCGGACTCGGTCAAAAGGACATCCAAACAAATTTTTTAAGCCAGAATATCTTTTTTTTTATTATCGTAGAAAAAACAACAGTTTTTGAAAAATTTTAAAAATTAATAATGAATTAAATTTTAATCAATGGCGATTGATAGGGCTCAACAACTCCTACATTTAAAGAAGAAAAAAGATCCAATTTCACCAATTGATTTGCGAAAAATCGAAGAAAAATTTGTTTACATACGTACGCACATACATAATGTGCGGACATGTACAGATACGATCTAAAATTGTATTTTCGGATTTTTTTAAGTGTAATGGGGCAATATAACACGAAAAATTAAAAACTTAAATTGGAACGATTGCAATGCTTCCATCCGGAAGCAAAAATATGTTTACGAACTCGTTCTTCTAGTGCTTATATAAGGCTGCCATGGGTGTAAATATTATATTTATTAAGAGGATACGTCGGTGAAATTTAAAAGTTTTCATTCGGCCTTGGGACTCATTGAACAGTTTGTGATATATGACGGAAAATCGCGGACCCGATCGATTTTGCCTCATATCACCACAAAAAACTTCATTTTTTCGTGTTTTTACCTTCACAATGCTCCTTGTGCCGTAGTTTTCATACGATTTTAGCTTTTTTTAAAAATTGTTTCGTACACTCCAAAGGATAAAGTTAAGTATCCGTTTTACTTTATTCGCAGTAGATCATGAATAAATGAATTTTGAATTTCATAAATTTTTCGCGTCTCTACTCTAGAGAAATATTCGTACAAAGAAAAATTTCTGATTCTAAGAAATGGTCTTCTCAGGAACAACGTTCAGAGAAAAAATCGTCAGAAGAATTTCTATGTGGATAATTTCAAGAACTATAGAAAAAATCCTTGATATTTTCTCCAGACCCAACAGTTTGAGAGATAGTGATAAAAATAAAAAATGTGGAATTTCTGGGATTGGCTTTTTTTATCACCGCAATTAGATATAGAGGGGAATATTGTAGGGAATTGAGTAGATGGATATTGAGAAAAAAGAAAAATGTTGGAAGTATTGACACATCCGGCTCACCACACGCGACAGTTTCGTCATTCCTACTTTCGCCGGGAACGTCGCATTGTCTCGAGAAAGTGTCACAAAATTGTTAACGGTTGCATAGAACTGCTAACAGAATCGTGATGTTGACGATCATGAAAATTGCATGACAATTTCACTGTAGTTTCTTCGAAAATATGATTCGAAATTGGGGAGAACTCCAATTCTCTGATGGATTCAGAGTAGAAATTAATTGATTCTAGTAGACGGAAAAAATATAAAATTAATTTTTAGTGTGGGAAGATAATAATCGAGAACCATGCCCGCCACGCTCAAAATTTACTGTTGAACGTAGTAAAAATTATGAGTCAGTGTAGTAGAAAGTGGTGGAATAGAAGGAAAATTTAATTTGGCACGAGTGAAAATTTGGTCAAGGATATATCCCAGT